AAACACATACAGCTGAGTAACTGTGCGTTATTACCAGTGGCACTTTCGTGTGCGTGACCTTTCAGTTCACCACTAGATGGCGTTTCACAAATCGCCGGTAACCTAAATACATTAATTATTTACTGGGTTTTAATTTCGCTATTTTCGCTGATGAGTAAAATCCGCTAAATTAAATCAACGTGAACATCTAATATAACCAAACAATTATTGTTTTCTTGACAAACTCGTGAAATTAAAAAAAAATATTATGCTCAAAACATCAAACTAGTGAAAATAAATGGTTTTATTTATTTATTTATTTATTTATTTATTTATTTATTTATTTATTTATTTATTTATTTATTTATTTATTTATTTATTTATTTATTTATACTTGCAACATACAGGAAGTATTTATTTATTTAAGAACTATTTATTTAAGTTTCAGATCCTTGCGAAATTGGACTACTGTGCAAAATATCAGCGAAATATACAGATGTGTCTCGCGGTTAAAGCCTTGCAAAGTTGCCACTACTGAATACAATAAGAAAACAATCTATTTATCAAATTTCTGTAATCACAGTCCCTCTATCCCTAGGGATAGAGGGACTGTGCTGTAATATATGTTTATAATGTCCACCCTAAACATGCAAGTTGTTGATTATAAACAATAGTCTAACGGCGTGTGAACCGAATGTGCGAACGTGAAGTCGCTATCATAACACATATTTGGCACATACATGTATATGTCGGAATGCATGTCCATGTCAGTTTGCTTCAAAATCAGAAAAATGATGGCATCACCGGCACCCATTTCTCTTTTTCGGTCATACTATTATATATCTCTTTCACCTGTGTACCGTTTTCATTGATATTTAGTACATGTGTCATAAATGGATACATATTCATTTTGTGATTTGGTTAAAGACGGCCGCCTGGCTTGTCGGGATACATGTGCATGACGATTTGTTTTATGATAGGAACAAATGTTATCTACTGTCGGTATTCTGCTGTGTTGGCCGTACTGCTCTATCTCTCATGTACATTCTCACATTTTTGTCACATACATCATACACGCCTATGGTTATTTGTAGGAATGTCGGTTTTATTAAATGTTCATCATGATAAACAAAAAATCAAAATCATAAAAAATCAATAAACATAAACAATGTGGATCATTTTTTTGTTATATATATGGTCTTTATTTACAAATTCAAGGCCATCGGCCCATAAAAGTATTTACATGTACAAGAAGAATATTTAAAGAAAATCACATATCTCGTTCCTGAGTTTCAATGCATGAAAGATGTATGCAACCAGAGTGGTTGTAAAATGTCAACATTTTGAGAAGTAACAAGTTATATACATTTATCAAAAGACGGGGTATTATAAAATGTATTGGATAAGTATGAGGTTCGCAGTTCATTATTTATAGATCATTTATAATAACATGAGTGAGTTTGGTTGCTAATGAATTCGTGAATGGCAAGATCCCCCCCCCCTTAGATGCATACTATCTCGTAAAACAGATTATAACTATGGGTGTAAGTAATACGTGATACTAGATTAGTCTATTATTCACTTATAATTACTGACCATACACTACAAATTCATTTAAAAACAATTGACCTGGTCAAATAACCAGCGATTATATACCAGCTGTCTTCGTCTGTTGGTTCTGCTTATTTCGGTAACGGAGAAAACAGACGGATGCAGCTTGGGTACAGTGATTTGCATATTCAATATCCAACATGTCAATGTCATCGGACTCTGAGTATGAAAAGTTTTCAGGGTTACTTGCAATTTGCAGTTTTTACTGTACAGAATTTTTTAAATTGTTGAACTTTCAACTCTCGTAAATTTACGGAATTAACACTCCCAACACACACATACAGTATGTAACCTGAGTATAAGATTGAAGGTGAAATTCATTACGTTTTTTTACTGTACCGAGGCATTCCTGAGTATAGGGAAAATTTCTTTTTAAAATAACTTATTTTTCTCTAGAGTTAAACAGCCTGGAAGTAATCCGCATAAAACCGCTGTATTAAATCAAACCAATCCAAGTCACTAATTTCCCGTTTGATTTTATGAAGATATACGCCGTGACCGTGTATGCATTTGCCAAAACTGAAAACCACTGGCGAATCAATTACAAATAAGACAGACGGGTCGGCGAGTAATGCCGGCTCTTGTAGCTCTTGCCGGCTCAAGTCACTAATTTCCCGTTTGATTTTATGAAGATATACGCCGTGACCGTGTATATATATATATATATATATATATATACATTTGCCAAAACTGAAAACCACGGGCGAATCAATTACAAATAAGACTTGTTGTTGTTTTTTGTTTTGTTTTCTTTAAAAAATTAATAATCCAAACATTAATATGGCTCTTGTCAGCAACTGCACTTTGAACATTTAAAAAAAAAAGCCAGGAGATACAAAAGTGATATGTTACCTG